CCCACCCCCCGACCTATGAGCAAAGCTTGGGTCAACTCAGTATGATGGCAAGGCTGCTTTGTTGTATGCTCCAGAAACTGCGGTAGCCTTGCTGGGAAGTGACTCCCCTCTGACTCCCTGACATACTACTATAAAAGAATTACATAGCTCTCTTATACATCCTGAGTATGTAATAAAATTTCCCGAAAGTCCCCCGACCGCTCCCCTTTGCCCTGACCACCTGTCTGTTTTAAGCCAAAATTAACATATGTTAGGTTAAGTTAGTATAAGCCAAATTAGCATCAGTAGCATATGTAGACTAAGTTAGTTTAAGGCTAGTTTTACGTAAATACCCCTTGTTAAAGCTGCAGGCCAAAGTTAGCTTATATTAGGACAAGTTAGCATATCCACTGCCATGACAGGGACTTAAAGATAAAACACAAAACTTCACTGATTTACAGACAAAAAATTCAGCTAATAAATACAGGGACCCATGGGTTAATAGAGGAAGGACAGATCTGGCTAACAGCGACAGAATAAACAAACCTGAAGGCTCCGGGAGGAAGAGTAACTATCTTAGCCGGAAGTTCTTATCTAATTCAGGCAAGCAACAGATAGTTTTTAACTACAAACAGTTTCTCCCCTGTGTGCTGTTAACTATGAAAAACTGCTAAATTGGGAACCAGCAGTTAGCGTAATGGCTATGTCTCTGGACTCCCACGTAGTCGACCACGGTTTGCGTCCCAGACCCGGTGGCTTAAAACTCACACTGGGCAAATGTGCGGGCATGCCCAAGATCCCAAGAGAAGAATGGAAGAGAAGGAGTTGCGCCATGACCATCCCCCCTGGGGGGTGATTTCTCGCTTTCTGTCTCTATGTCTCTGTCTGTCTGTCTGGCCCTATAGCGAAAATCTCTCCAAGAAAAGAAAAACTGCTAATAAAACATCCTGTGTTGTTTCCTGAGCTACAAATCACCTTCCTTTCCCATATGGGCAATAGGCTCACCCCCTTTAGTTATAATATAGATATTCCATATATTAACTGTGTCTTTACTTAACAAGACAAGATTTCTATCTAGGCCTTTGTAACCGGAAATGCTGCCGCCCTGGCCCAGGACTGAAGTTATCAAGCTTCCTGCAAGCCCCCTCTTCAAAAGACCCTGTCTGGTAATCAAGACTTAAGAAGAAAATGCACCAGACAAATAGACTCCTTCGTTCTGAAAACTGTTTGGCTTCACCTGTTCAAACAAGACAGACATCATGTTTTATGATCCTTGTTCTGTGCCTTGAATTCCCTTTTTCGTAGAGTAAATCTTTTATTTCCCCGTCACCCCTCCTACTCCTGTAAGACATCCCTCAATAAAAACGTGTGTTTGGTAGCCCCTAGTGCTGCGGTCCTGAGCTTGCTCTGGTTGTAGCTGGCTGAGAACATGCTACAGAGCATTAAGGTTTCGGCCTAATTTTGTTCACCCGCGTTGCCTTCCTGTGTACAAGTCTCAACCCACCATGGCTGGAGCAGGGTTTCCGGCAATAAATAAATAAATAAATAACGTGATTGAATGTATAAAAGAACAAGAAATAAAAAATAAATTTTAAAAAATAAAAGATTGTGTATATTTTAGTTGTTGGTTGAAATATTCTATAAACATCATTTAGGTCAAGGTGATATTATTCAAGACTTTTATGTCTTTGTATATTTGCTCCCCATGTGTTCTAAAAGTTACTGAGAGGGAAGTATTGAGAAATTTAATTATAACTGTGTCTTGTCAATTCGCCTTTCATGTTGATCACTCTTTGCTTCCCACACTTTAAATTTTTACTATTGGGTATGGTACACAGTGATTGAATGTAAAAAAGGAAAAAAAGAGAGAGAAAAGAAAAGAGGACAGAAAAGAAAAAGAAAACAAAAACTGCTTTCCTTGGACCAACTGGTGGTGTAGTGGTTAAAGAGCTGGATCTCTCATGGCCAACTGTGTGGTTCAAGTCCCAGAACTAGCTACTCGAATAACACACTGGGCATGTGTGTGTGTCCAAAATACACATTTCATTTGGTTTTGTCTTGACTCCTGTATCTTTGAAATGTTCATCTTTAGCCTTAATTTTGTCCCTTCTTCTGAAAGTCACTTTGTGTAATTAGTACAGTCTATCCATATTTCTTATAAGTAGATTATTAATTGAATATCTCTTTTAATGTTCTTCCTTTTAACCTATCTACATTCTTAATTTATTCAAGATTTTTTTCCTTAGATTACAAATAATTTGATTAAACAGTCATTTTAATCCAATCTGAAAATCGTAGAATTTAATTTGATCTTCAAGGTATTTATTTCATGTAATTATTGATGTAGTTTGTCTAAAATCTTCTTGTTTGATTTTTATGTAGTCTGTGCTTTCTTTCTACCATTTTCTTCTTTTCCAGTCTTATTTTCATTTGAGTATTTACCTTTCTTTTATTCTTTTTAGTAGTCCCTTTGGAATTTACAAAGTAACATTTTAGGATGTAAGAGAGTGAGTCATGTGGATATCTGAGAAAGGAGCATAATATACAAAAGTTCACCAAGTGGAGGTTATTTTTTAAAAGTCATCCTGTCCCACATGTTGCAAATTAACTCTAAAGATACAGGAGTAAGGGGGAGAGATCAATTAAAACACTATTAGATGGGAACCAGCAGTTAGCGTAATGGCTATGACGCTGGACTCCCACATAGTCGACCGCGGTTCATGTCCCGGACCCGGTGGCTTAAAACTCACGCCAGGCGCGTGTGCGTGTGTGCCCAAGATCCCAAGAGTAGAATGGAGGAGAAGGTATTGCGGCGTGACCATCCCCCCTGGGGGGGTGATTTCTCGCTTTCTGTCTCTATGTCTCTCTCTGTCTGTCTGGCGAGTGCACGCGCCCTACAGTGAAAATCTCTAAAAAACAAAACAAAACAAACAAACAAAAAACTATTAGATTATTCTTTGAAAAAAAGTGATAGTGGGTTAGATTAGGGACTGAAATAGAGATGAGGAAAAATAGGCTTTGAATACAGGTTATTTTGCAACCAAGAGGATTTAAAAATAATTGTGACAGAAAAACCAGAATAGAGTAAAAACCAGGTAGTTTTGTCCTTTCCTTTGATCGGTTTCTGTTTTGCTTTTGTTTGGTTTTGTCCCAAACAACTGAAAATATAAAATTGACATTCACTGAAGTGACAAAAGATCAAAAGTTATTTTAGGGAAGATAATAAATTTCAATTTGATATTTTTACCTAAATACAAGTAAAGTTGTCAAATAGGTAATTGGATACATACGAGTCTGAATTTGAGAAGGTCTAGGCTATAGATGTGAGTTGAGGACTTCATCTTACAGTCATTTAAAGCCACCTGACTATGATATCTTGAGATGACAATACAGGTAGAGAAGGAGCCTGAATCCTAAGACCAGCAGCACTCTAATAAGACAAAATCAGACAACTAAGACAGATTCTGTGATCTGGATTTACATTTCTCCACTTACTTTCTGTACTGAATCATCAGACAGGAGTCCTAGGAAAACACAGTATATTTAATATCAATCCATGTTATCCTTATTATTTATGTAACTTTAATGAGGTATTTGGTATCAGGATACATGTCCATATTTTAATGTATCTTCCTACTCCAAATTAAGAGTACCTCCCCACCAGGTAGTTAGCAGGTTATTTTCATTTGTGGGTAGGTGGGACACAGTGATACAAGCAGGAAAATATAAAAGGCCATCTTCAACTAACTCAGCCCACAAATAGCATAGTGATGCTCCATTAGGAACCATTGGTATGCTTCATATATACTTCCATTCCATGTAATGTATGATTTCAAAGATTCTTATTACTCTTTCTACATGTAATTTTAGAGAGTCCTATCTATAGAATTTGTAGCTTATATTCTAGTTACCTATTACTCACTTATGGTTTTACTTAAAATGTTATTGGATCGTCAGAGAAGTCATGATGCATTTTTTAATAGAAAACCATAGAAAATGCATCATGACTTTTCAGATAACCCATTTGGTTCAGAATATTGTACTCAGGTTAAAGAAATATGTTTATTCGGCAACCTTAACAATTTAGGGTGTTCACATGAAATACAGTTCTGTAAAATGAGATATTGTTGAAATACATAAAAATACAGGGTCGAGTTTCTAAGAATACTATCAGTTTACTTGGTAAAATAGACGAAAACCAAAGTTTGTGATTTCCCCATTTTCTCCCCAACTCCTCTTTCTGCCTGACTATAGCTTACTGACTATAGCTTAGCAGAAAGACCTTGATTTCTTTTCTTTTTTTTTTTTTTTTTGGAGAGATTTTCCGCTATAGGGCGCATGCACTCCCCAGACAGACAGAGAGAGACATTAGAGACAGAAAGCGAGAAATCACCCCCCCAGGGGGGATGGCCACGCCACAATCCCTTCTCCTCTATTCTCCTCTCGGGATCTTGGGCATGCACGCACTTGCGCCTGGCGTGAGTTTTAAGCCACTGGGTCTGGGACGCGAACCATGGGAGTCCAGCGACATAGCCATTATGCCAACTGCTGGTCCCAAAAGACCTTGATTTCTGTATGAGGATCCAATGTACTGGTTCTGAGCTGCATTCCTCAGTGCGTCACCAAAATGATCAAATATAACATAACATATGGTTATAACAGCTTGTTCTCTATGGTCGAAGAATATACCATTTAATTTTGTTTTACTCTCCACTGTGTTCATATCAGCATAAGAACTCTCAGAGATTCAGATTTTTCAATATGGTTGTATTTTTCTTCCCTATCCTATGTTTCATTCACCACTGTTAGCCACCACCATACACGAAGCTGTTGCCTCAGGCTGGCTCCTTGCTACCTCAACAACTAATTTATCACAAGATTAAAGTTGGCTTTCCCTGAAGCGCATAAGAGATCATTTGCATGAATTTTTATAATCTACTACAGGAATAGATTTGTCGTAAGAAGTAAATTTTACAGTGATAGGCACCTGCATTACACTGAGGTAAATATGTGTCAATAGAGTTGTCGCATAATTTATATTGCCTCTAAATCCATGCCAATTAAAACCCTAACATTTTATAAATTAAATGTTTAATTTTTTTTCTAAGTTGTAGCACAATAAAAAACATAGCACTGTCAATTAGAGATAAAAAATAAGTGAATAACTAGAAGAAAGATATAAAGTATATAATTTCATAGTAATGAGTGAATGGCACATAAAGGAGAGAAGAATCTGCTAAGAGTAAAAACAACTAAATGAAAAAGATGCTATGGCCATTATAAAGGTCACAGAAGATAGACATCTATTTAATAACAACTTTTGATTTTCACTCATTATTTTTTGTTCTAAGGCTTAGAGATTTTTAATAAAAACAATGTTTAGATTTTTACTATAGATTTTCACTTAGCCAGCTAATGTATTGGTTTTCTAGTCTATATCCAATGTAAATTCCATCAAAGAAAACTGCTCCATGGAATCCATCCTCAACGTGGTTAAGGGTCACCTTAACTCCAGCGTTCCGAAGTCGGGTGACATACATGAGTCCGTCATCCCGAAGGACGTCATACTGACAGGTGATGACGTAGGTCTGGGGTAAACTACGCAGCTTGCTGTCATCAGCCAGCAGGGGGGCCGCCCTCACATCTAGGAACCCTGGATACTTCTTGGCCAGCTCGGAGCTACCCTGACGTGGACTGCTATAAACGTGGCCTTTCTTAAACCTCTCTGGGAGCAAGGAACTCCAGTTAACGAACTTGAACAGGTGACTGGATTCCACAGGAACGTGTTGGTTGGAAAGCATGGCTTTCTCCAGTGACCTATCCGTGGTAAAATATTCACTCCAGAACCTGACCATGAGTGATTTAGATAGAACTGGAGCATACATATTTTCCCGATAGGATGGTAAATCCAGATCAAGAGGCTGAAGGGCAGGGTATATTAAGGACTGGATCTTCAGTTTGTTCTTGACATCTGGGTCCTCTAAGAGCTGGAAAACAAAGCAAGTTGTTTGAATGAATATATTTTATTTTAAAACATTTATTTTTATAACAACATAGTGATGTGAAACAAATTTAGAATCTAAAAAATATCAGAAACAAAAAAAAATCTCTTGTAAAACTTTCTAATTGTCAGGACCAGCAGTTGGCGTAATGGCTATGTCGCTGGACTCCCATGTAGTCGATTGTGGTTTGAGTCCCGGACCCGGTGGTTTAAACTCACACTGGGCGCGTGTGCGTGCATGCCCAAGATCCCGAGAGAAGAATGGAGGAGAAGGGATTGCAGGGTGGCCATACCCCTGGGGGGTGATTTCTTGCTTTCTGTCTCTCTGTCTCTGTCTGTCTGGTGAGCGCACGCACCCTATAGCAAAAACCTCCCCAAAAAGAAAAAGAAAAAGAAAAAAAACTTTCTAATTGTCATGATCCCAGGTGTAATGTAATGATTAGACAGATACCTGTCTGTCTATGGGGAGGGAATAAGAAGATCTAATCAGTGATTAAGGAGCAACATCTCAGGACCAGCAGATGGAGTAATGGTTATGTTGCTGGACTTCCACATGGATGATTGTGATTCAAGTGCCAGAGCCGGTAGCTTAAAATTCACACTGGTGCATGTGCGTGTGTACCCAAAACCCCAAAAGAAAATTGGAGAAGGGATTATGATGTGGCCATAATCCCTGGGGGTGATTTTTTGCTTTCTATCTCTTTGTTTCTCTGGTGAGTATACATACCCCATATCAAAAACCTCTCTCTCTAGGAAAAAAAAAAAAAAAGAAACAACATCTCTGAACCAGAAGTTTGAGACCTGATGGCTTGCTTCCTCACTCTCTCTCTCTCTTTCTTTGCCTCTGTGTGTATATGTGTGTCTAGTGAGCACATGTGCCCCGTTACAAATGAAAAACTAGTAATAATGATAAATAAAATTAAGTAGTAATTTTTAAAAAAAAAAAAAGAAGAAATATTTCTAAAAGTCAAGAATTGCCAGAAGAGAGAGGAATCTGATTTACTTTTGTTAGTAAGTAAATGTATCTACATATATTATTGTATCAATAAGCATTAACATTTAAGGGAAGAATCACAAACTAGGAATTCTAATTGGTCTCTGACAGTGAACAGATGAATATAAGATAAATTTTAGAGTCTCTTTGTGAAATACGTGAGTCAGATAAATTTTTTTAAAGTTTATTTATATCTACCATGAGAGAGGGAGAGAGGTATCTTCAACAGATACCTCTGTAACTTACCGCCAGCCCCGTCCAGCCTGAATCACAAGTACACCCAACCAGTGTACACAGGGAGGCCCCTGAATGTGAACCCAGGAAATTCCCATGTGGGTCCATTTGTGTTACCACCATGCCATCATCTCTCCTGATTTGCTTGGTTTATTTATTACTTTATGTATTTATGATGAGTATTCGGGATTTCAATCAGTGTTCTCTGATGCCAATAGGACTTTCCTTTTTCATTTTATTTTTTTGTTTTATGATATGTTAGTTACATTCACTGTATATTTCTACAGCACACAATGGTTTTTTTGTGATAATCAAATCAAGAATATTACTATAAACATCATTTTCAACAGAGAACTTTATAATATTGTAAATAGGTTTTTTTTTAAATGTTTTTTTAATGTTTTTTCTCTATGTCCCTCTCATTTACCCTCTGTTATCGCCTCCTCTCTCATACAGTTTCTGGTATCTATACCTGCCCTCCCTACTATTGCATCTTCAGATCTTCCATTTTTGCCAGAGTGCAGACATTTGGTACATTCCAAACAGGGATATACAGTGTTTGTCCTTCATGGTTTGGCTCACTTCACTTTGCTTTTTTAAACTGTAATATTTCAAGTGTGTTCTTTCACTATATGCCACAATTGTCTATATGATTACCTCTATAATTTCTAAGGGGCAGTAGTCTCCTAATTGAGAAATAATGTTCCCAGGTATTTCTATACAAGACTATTCATTAAAGTTAAGCAAGAAGATATTAGAACTTATATTCCTATTATACAAGTTTGTATTTTAACTTATAGTTGTTTCAGATATTCAAAATGCATTGATGTATTAAGACTGATATTATCTATAAACCAAAATGTATATATTGGGGTATACTAAAAGTTTCCTGCTAATGGGGTATATGACTAAAAATATTTGGAGACCAGTAATATTTGTATTATATTACAGTTCACCAGATGATTTTATGTATGTTTACTTGGTCCTACAGGGAAAAATTGCCTATTATCTATCATAGATGAGATTCTCAAGGTGGGGTCCTGACCAGAAATCAATGGGGATTGTTTTAGAAATGCTACAGATTCTTAGGTTCTAGTTTGGACCTACTACTGAATCAGTGGGGTTGAGACCAGCAATGTTAGTTTTAAAAAAAATGCTTCAGGTGATTCTGATGCATGTTTAAGTTTGAGATCCATTGGTGTAGTTTGTAAAAAGTGTAAAAATTAGTGAAGCCACATGTATTCTGATGTTTCTCAGAAATAAAATGTAATAGATACATTGAAAGTTTATTTCTGGGGGCTAGCAAGTGATATAGTGGTTCAGGCACTGGACATTGACATCGCTGACTTCACATCAAGTCCAAGACCTGGCAGCTTGAAAATTGCACCAGGCACATGTGCATGCATGCCCCAAATCCCAGGATGAGAATGGAGGAGTTGGGACTGTGGCATGGCCAACCCTTTGTGAGGTGACTTTTCACTTTGCCTCTCTCCATTCCTCTCTGTCTTTCTGGTAAACACACACGCCCTATAATAAAACATCTCTCTACAATGAATAAATAAATAAAACTAAAAAAGAATAAATACCTGAGTAAATAAACCAGGTTTGTCCTTTAGGTAAGAAAGCCAGTATTGAAAACTGTTTTATTCATAATCTACAAGTTAATTGCAATTATGGTAATACTTTAAATTGATAGCTAACAGGTATAGAGCTGTAGCTAACTGTCATAGAAATAGTGTGAATAATTAATATCTGGAAATTATAATTGCTTCTACAATTAAATAGTATGTTCAAGCCTCTTAACATTTTTTTCCATAGGCAATTTCATTTTTCTAATAGTAAAAATCTTTATTCAAGTTTTAGCATACTCTACTGAAGAGTATTGATATCAACTGATTCTGTAGTTATGGTAACTGGCAGCATTGATTGATTTTTACAAATATCCCCTAATAAAAGGAAATAATATGGTACTTAACTGACCATAGTAATCATGTTTGATCCAATAACCTAGAAAAGATATTTTATCAATTTACTTAAAAAAAGAAACCTGGATGAATTAGGAATAGAAATACTAGGTATATAAATATCTTTAATATTACTGTCAAGCCAGTGGGTGATGGTGATTAAGGTGGCTGGATCCCACATGGTTGACACCATGGTTTACATCCCAAACCTGGAGATGAAAAACATGTGAAGCACTTGTGCATTTGTGCCCCAAATCCTGAAAGGTAAAGTGGGGGACAAGTGATTGCAGTGTGACTGTCCCTCATGAGAATGCTTTTCCCACTTTCCCTCTGTAACTCTTTTTTTCTGTCTCTCTCCAGCAAGAACATACAATCTCTATATATATATATACTAGAGATTGTATGTTCTTATATATATTTTTTTTTGGAGAGATTTTCGCTATAGGGTGCGTGCGGTCACCAGACAGACAGAGAGAGACATAGAGACAGAAAGCGAGAAATCACCCCCCAGGGGGTATGGTCACGCCGCAATCCCTTCTCCATTCTCCTCTCGGGATCTTGGGCATGCACGCACATGTGCCCGGCGTGAGTTTTAAGACACCGGGTCCGGGACGCGAACCGCAGTCGACTACGTGGGAGTCCAGCAACATAGCCATTACACTAACTGCTGGTTCCCTAGTATATTTTTTTAAAAGTTACTGTCTAGGTATTTCTAATATCTAGTATATTAGCATATGGGCATTAATATTTTAAGTCAATATAGTTGTACATAGGCTATTTCAGAAAGCAGAATAAATCTGAACAGCATACCTGTTGGGCCACTGCTGCAGCCAAATTCCCACCAGCACTGTCTCCAGAAATACCAGTTCTTTTCGCATCAATACCGTATTTGTCAAGAACATCTTGGCGTAAGAACCACTTTAATGCATTATATACATCTTCAAATTGATTTGGAAAATGATACTTAGGTGCCAGTCTGTAGCTGTGAACAGAATAATCATTTTCAGTCGATTATTTTTAATTTTAAAAATGTGGGTGTGCTGCTCCAACCTTTAAATTAAAAGTAAAATTTGTCTCTAGAAAACGTGATATTTTGGGTAATTATAAATATAACGACATACTTCATTCTAATGATGATGCCTGATATGAAAACCTTTTTAAAGAGGTTTTCTTTTTTCATATTTATTTATTCCCAGAGACACAGAAAGAAAGAGACAGAGAGAGGCACCTCCACCATGGTCTTCACTTCACTATCCACCCCCCGTCTCAGCTGGTCCAGTGCCTGGTGAGTCAGTGTGTCCTGGGTGAACTTGGGACCTTTCCTCTGTGGGGCACTTTGCTGCTACAAATTTCATTTGGATAGAAGTAAAGGTTTAAATAAAAACTTGGATTAAGTTTAAGAGGAAATAAAACAACAGGGGATAAGTTTTCCTAGCTAAACCTCTCCCAGAATGCTGTTTTTAATCATCATTAAACTTTAGTGATGACCAATAAAAAAAATGGGCAAAAAAGAAATCTTAGGATTTACTCTATTTTAACTTCATATACTGATCAAGTTGACATGTGGTCACTATTACATTTCTCCAAAGCTGCTTCATATTTCTTATTTCCATTGGTCATATCTACTATGATTACTTATTAATCTAGAATGCTTTTTGAAAATAGATTCTGCTTCTGTTCCTATGTGTAATTGTGTGATTAATTGTTTTTAATGAAAGAGTATTTAATGACATACTTCGTACTAAGTACTTTAAATATACTTCATCATCTAAACCTCAAAAAGCATACCTATTATATGGAAAATATTGTGTGAGTCCCAGTGTACAGATGAGGAAACTAAGCTAAAGAGATAATAGTCATCCTATACAGAGTCACAGAATTCATTCCAGAACCAGAATTTGAACCGAATTTTTTTATGCTCATGCCCTCATCTTTTTTTTTGTTGTTATATTTTTGTTTTCGCAATTCTCCTGCCCTCCTGCCTCAGTCTCCCAGCTAGAACTACAGGCAAATCCCACCATACCTGGTCTTTAGATTGGGCCAGAAATCAAACCTGAGTCTCCCTTGTGCTTCTGGCCTATGGAGCACAGTACCTCAGCAAGTGCACCACCATGCTGGACCTGAAGCTTCATTCTTACTCTGCTTATGAAAACCAGACTAGGACTCCATCAGAGGTAATTCGTCTGTAAGATGCAATACTTTAACTTTCTTCTTTTCTTTGAAGTTTATTTATTTATTCCTTCCATGAGCAAGTGACAGAGAGAAAGAGACAGACAGACGGCCCTCCCAACAATCTTGATACTGCAATCTACCTACACTTCAGCCAGCCTTGGATCAAGGGCACACTCAAGATTAGCACACCTGGGGAGATCTTCCAGATGCAAACCTGGAACTTTACCTTGTGGCTCAGCCTTGCAGAGCATCTGGTGTACTGCTGTGCCACCCTCTGGACCCAATTTTATTCTAACATTTTCTGTTTGTTTCTAACACTTCCTGTTTTTTATTTCCTTGAGACGTAACTACCTATTTTGACTCTGATTCTGGTCATGCTGAAGTCGAGGTTCTCTATGGTCAACTACACAACTGTATTTGGAATACTTCTGGTATAGCTAAGGAAGGACCAAGAAAGCTGAGAGCACCATGCTTGACAAGGCCTCTGGCCCCAAACCAAGCAGACCAACAGTGCACTTACTTGGTGGACACAACAACAGCATCAAGTCTATCAGCTGTCCGTCTTGACACAGTGTCATAATTAGAGAAGGCTGAAATAAAAAAAAAATTGAGACTGCCAATTAAATTGATGGTGTTTCAGCAGAGAGTCTACTAGTACACCTTGTTCCTCGTGATGTGCTCTGGGAGAAATATTTCTAATATCTTATGATAGCTGTAGAGCAGGAAGTCAGTCAGTGATCCTTTTACCAATACCTGGTTGACTTTTCATCCTTCCCTATGTTCTCATTCTACCCACTTTAGACCAGTTTCATTCTCCTCAAGATTCATTTCTGCTCCCTTTATTTTGCAGGTGTTAAGTGATTTTAAGGAAGTAACAGTCTCCTGGAGATAGGGATGAGGGGGCATGTATACAAACTAAATGAAATAATGCAAAATAATAGTAGCTTGATTGGAAGAGTACAATAAGTGCTATGGTATTAGACTTCACCAAAATTGCCGAAGAGTAGAAGAAACAAGAAGAGTTGAGGCCCGATTTATGTATTGATCTCTTCTAGGCAGAGAAAAAGAAATGTGTTTTCTGGCATTTTTTTAATTTGTTTTTTCTTTTCTTTCTTTTTTTTTTTTTGGCATATGTATGGATTGGGCACAAGCTACATGCTGTTGTCATTAGGCTTGTGTAAATGATTTCTTTTGTAAATAGACAACTTAAAGAGGACTAAATAGAATTTGGCAGTAACAGGTGATGGGAGATATTACAAAGGGATAAGGTGAAAGTGTCGGGACATGAGGTTGTCACAAAGGCCATGTACTAAGGACCATAAAAAGAGGAAAGGATATTATCCCGTAATATTTCCAAAACTTGGTGCTGAGTATTCTTAAGATGTCGAATACAGGGCCAGCAGGTGACATGGTAGTTAAGGCGCTGGACCCCCACAGGGCCAACAATGGTTTGAGAACAGGATCTGGCTACTAGAAACTGATGCTAAGCATGTGTGCATGTATGTGTAAAACCCCAGCAGGAGAATGGGGGAGAAGTGATTGCAGTGTGGCCATCCCATCTAGGGGATGATTTCTCACTTTTCCTCTCACTGTCTCTCTCTATCCCTCCAGTGAATGCATGTGCCCTACAGGGAGAAAAAGAAAAAAGAAAAAAAAAGGTTAATATACATTGTCTTAAATATCTACTTAATCTTTATCATAAAAAGTCATGCTTACAGGGCTGGCAAGTGGCATGGTGTGGTTAAGGGCGCTGGACTCCCATATGGCCAGCCACAGTTTGAGTCCCAAACCTGGTGACTTGCTTTCTCACTTCCCCCTTTCCCCCCTCTCTCTTCCTCTGTTACTCTCATTCTCTCTCTCTCTTCCAATTAAAATAAATAAATAAAGTTAAATAAAAATAATTTTAAAAAGTCATGCCTACATTTCATATTAGAATACAACTTTGTATATTTTTGTTTAATATTAAAATGGAAAGAATCAGGCAAATGCTATTTTTTTTTCCAGCACTAATTCTTTTTTTTTTATATAAGTTTTTGCCTTAGGATACATGTGTTAGCCAGGGAGAGAGAGACAGAGACAGTGAGAGGGAAAGCTAGAAATCACCTCCAGGCTAATAGCCACTCTGCAATCCCTTCTCCATTCTCCTCCCAGGATCTTGGGCAAGCACACACATGCATCAGGCATGAGTTTTAAGCCACCAGCTCTGGGACTTGGACCATGGTCAGTCATGTAGGAGTTCAGTGCCATCTGCTGGCCCCTAGCACTTATTCTTAAGTATTCTTTTACCTTAGTAAATAGACCCCCTTCTTTATGAATACTTCAATGAAAAATATTTTAAGGCAGTGCTCTTGGCAGTGGATTGTCATGGATATACCATAGTCAGATTTTGTTGTAAAAACATCACTTTCTTGTTGCATGATGACCCTCTGAATTTATAAACAATGATAGCCAGGATTGCTCCATTGAGTGCTCCAACTTCTGTTATCAGTCTAACCTATACCCATCAATACCTTTTTTTCCCTGCTGTCGAGAGAGGCATGCCCTTCCTCTCATATGTTTACAATCCTCCCCTTCTGCACTGAGTCCGAGTCTCTTCTGTATTCTCTAGGTCAGACGAACCCCCATCCCTTCCTCCAGCTCCTAATCCCCACATTGCTCCAGCATACTTCAACTTACCATTGTTTTAACGTCAACCTATAAACATAGTCAGAAAGCTCTCATATATAACTATAAAATGTATATAATATAAAACACATCTCTATATAAATTAAATTAGTATCACATATAAAAATAATTATATAATAAAATATTAAATTACATGATACTAAAGGCATTAAATAAAAACAGAAACATAATATAAAATAAAAAAAGTCCTTTTACTCAATACTCTTCTCCCTGCCCCCATCCAACACCTTCTTTCTCACTTTCTTCATTTCTAAGCTTATTCAAAGACTAAAGTCAGACCAGCCAGTGGTGTGGTGGTTAAAGCAGCTGGATTGCACATGGCTGACCACAGGGTTTGAATTCCAAATTGGCAGCCTAACAAACATGCCAGGTATGTGTGCTTGCTCAAAATCTCAAAAGGAGAGAGAATGGAAGAGAAGAGATTGTGGTGTGACCATTCTCTATGCAGGATGTTTTCTTACTTTTCATCTCTCTCTGGCAAGTACATGTGCCCTCTGGCAAATTAAAATAAAGACTGGAGTTACTATCATCACTTCCTTATATTCTTGCACTGTTCAGCTCACTTCATTATGGTTTTCACTGCAACATTCCATCAAAGCTGCAATTAACAATAAATGAAGAAGTCCATAAGACACTTTTTTCTTTTTACATAATATTTGCTACAGCTTGTGGTATTGATTATACCCTCTTTCAAAACAAGATGTAAAATGCTTCCTTTAAACAAACATTAGTCCAAAGATAAATCCAGACTGCTGAAGTGTTTTGTTATCTGACATCAATGTCTTAAAATCTCAGTGTCAGTATCTCAATACACTGTATGTTATATGGTAAACGAAAACTTTCAGCAAGGGGCACATACCAGCATCTCCCAAACACCAACCACCACCATGGACATAAAACAGTCCCCTCCTTAGTGTCTCTGAGGTTCTTCTTGGCACATACACACGCACAGGAACATTGTTGAAAGTTGTCTCCATCACAGTGACCTTTTCATCGGACGTGGGTGGGACTTCTTGAAAGCCCATAAAGAACATGATCGTGTCCATTAAATGACTGATTCCCAAGAATTCAGTAAACAGACCCTAAGAGGAGTGAGAAAGAAGAAACAGCTAGATTACAAATAGCAAATGCCGCTGCTTTTTTATGAACATGAAAGCATGCTTATGTGTTCCCAAAGACTGTAAACCATAGTCTCACTTGTTAATCTCAATGACACAAAAATACTGGAAGCTTAGCTGCATTAACACAATAGTTTCTTCAAATTAAGAAAGATTTTAAAGAATGTTGAACTTGACAGAATTCACGCTAGAGAGTTTGAGTATAAAGACAAGTTCTCTACTCTAATGAAGCTCAGTGTCAAGTGGGAAAAACAAATACAAAAGCAATTACAAAGCCACATAATTGCATATCGCATTGATATGTAGAAAGAACTTTGATAGTACTCAATGAGTAAATAAACTAATGATCTGGACAGGAGAACTAGGGAGGTGTTTTCAAATAGGTGAACTGTGATAGGAGCACTGAAAGGGCAGTAGACTTTGACCGAACAAATAAAGGAGCGGATTTCAGCACAGCAGTCGCCACAGGGACATTCCTGTTGCAATCAGAGAAAGGCATGGAGTTTAGTAAAGCTAGAAAATCGGGTTCACACATGAATGCATGAAAGAAAGATTTGACTGAGAGCCAAATCTTCAAGGATCTATAGTGTTGAGATTCAAAGAATCAAAAAGATTTATTTTGAAATCTTTAATAGGAAATGTGAACTCTGAGCCTAAGTGATGAAATAGTTGGATCAGCTTCTTTCCTGTTAAGAAGATTAAATAAGTGCAAGAGAATAAGCAACATTGCCTGTTTTCAAACACTCAATCATCGCTACCCTGTTCTTCCTGTAAGGGAAGTAGAGAATACAGTTCCCAGAACTCTTTGTGGAATTGTAGGTTAAATCATGCATCAAGTGGTATTCTTACAAGATTTAGAGGGCAGAGACATTATTTTCTTGAGGCCACTGTGTGCATTCACATGGACATAAACAAATATGTGGGGGTTTTTTATGCTTCTTGTTGTCCTCCTGAGAATTACGTCAGTTGTGCAGGCAGCTAGATTTATGGGTGACTTCCCTTGGCTTGCTCATTCTAAAGATTGTATATCTTAATGGCCTATTCTGAATCTATTCCTATTGTGTTACTTATAGTAGTGTCCTGACAATAAGAAAATACTGTCTAGAAGAAGTTTCTCAGAAAGTAGAACATATGAGACACGTGTTGAAGTTAGATATCTGACCTGCGTATGTTGAAAGCTAACTTTGGCCTCATTACCAATGTAACATGGGACTCTATAAATGCATAAATGCAGTAGTAAAACAAGTATTTAACACCTGCAATAGTCTCTATTAAGGATGAGTTTAGAGAGACCGTGATCATTTCAATAAAGTATTATAGAGAAGATGATGAGCTGAAGCAATGATCCCACTCAAAAGTTTACAGAAAGAAAAATTACATTCTTAGAATTTTAGCTTTTTATCTCAAATCACAGTAAAGCAGATAGCCACTATATCCTCCAGGAAAGAAATCTCTTCTCTCTTACAACTCTGTCTGAAAACAAAATCAAAAAGAAAAAAAAAAGTTTATTTATTTTTTGGAAGAAGAAAAGATGCATGCCCAACACAGTCTTCAGGCCATAATCCACCTCCACACTCAACCAGCCAGGATCACAGGCACATGCAAATCCAGCTTATACAGATGCATAAGGAGACCTTGGGACATCAACCTTGGACATCCTCACATGGCATTGTGTTACCACTGAGCTATGGCAGCTGACCCAGCTTTTATCTTATAGATTGTGGAATTGTGGTGCAAAGTGATTCACAGTCCTACCAGATGTCTTAGTGGAAAGTTAATGCTCGGTCTAATGTTCACATCTAAATATTATTGTGAGTACTGAATTCAAACTGTTTGTATGGGTTCTGATGAACTTGGTCACCCTGAACTTCAAAATTTCATCAAGCTTCCCCTAACCAAAGTAGCAGCTAACCAGTCACGATAGTATATGCATTTAAAGAGGATTGGACAATAGAAGTTCCCTGGTATAATAGAAGAAATCCAAATGGCTAGGGAAGTAGTATAATTTTATCTGATTTATTATTATGAGCCATACCGGATATGGAAGCAAAATCTAGGGGTTATGTTTTACACCAAGACATTGAAAAATACACTGGTAACTGAAACCCTAGCATCTTAGTAGAAACACCCAAGCAGTAATTTGCCATCAGGAATGACAGTGGACGGGAACCAGCAGTTAGCATAATGGCTATGTCACTGGACTCCCACATAGTCGACCACGGTTCGCGTCCTGGACCTGGTGGCTTAAAACTCACGCCGGGCGCATGTGCGTGCGTGCCCAAGATCCCGAGGAGAATGGAGGAGAAGGGATTGCAGCATGGCCATCCCCCCGGGGGGTGATTTCTCGCTTTCTGTCTCTATGTCTCTCTCTGTCTGTCTGGTGAGCACACGCGCCCTATAGCGAAAACCGCCCCAATAAGAAAAACCCCCCAAAAAAAAAAAAAAAAAAAAAAAAAAAAAAAGAATGACAGTGGAAGATTCAGACACTAACATGATCTGATTTGAATAGTATGATGAGACCTTACATTGTTACAGGCCAAGTTACAGGGATAACCTACCAGATATAAGGTGGATGTGTTTACCGAAGTGAACACCAGTGGTAAAATAAAATCTCAAAGGTCTTTGGCACTAAGTGATCATGATATCAGGAAGATTGAAGTGATTCAGCAATTGACTTAACGCCTGAGTTAATCTGTATTTAAGGAGTGGCTTCTCACCCAGTTCCCTGAGCTAAGCCACTCCACAGATTGAGACCCACTGAATGAAGAGAGGTCAGAGTGCCTTAAGGGAAGCTCATGCAACATTGTCAAAAAATATGTACTATAAATATGCCTCTTAGCACATAGGAGGAAAAAAAAAAAAGAGCTTTGAGTGTGTGATCCTTGATCTTACTTTGGGAAAGGAGGAATGTTAACTTTGGAAGGGGAGCACTGAGCACTGGTTCTGGAGTGTTACCAATTCCTGGGGACCCAAACTACCATGGTCTGCTAGATAGAATGGAGGATATCAAGTAAGAAATGATATTTCAAGTGGGTTCCATACTCAAATGACTCCAGCACATCTGAAAACTCATGCTTTGTTTCTTTCTCCAGTGAATTGTTGAAATGGATATATTTGGCAACTGAGAGAGTCCTTAAACTGGCTCTTTGTCAGTTGAGAGCTATTACAGAGGTCAAGGATGAGTAGAAAAACCTGAAACTAACTGGTTGTTCAAAAGCAATCATAATTGTGTGATTCCCAGGGAATTGCAATGATTAATGCCACAATCAATGATTTGATAAATTCAAAGGTGATCCTTTCTGTTACAAGCTTAAAGGTAACAAACATTTTCTCCTTAACCAAACCCTAGCCACAGTCCTCTTTTCGACTAGCTCTCCACCTTGGTCTATAAAATCTATAGACTCAGCACAAAATATTTTTTCTACCTACTTCCCTCATTAAAAAACATAAAGAGGAACCAGCAAATGGTCTAATTGTTATGTCACTGGACTCCCACATAGTTGACTGCAGTTTGAGTCCCACACCTGGTGGCTTAAAACTCATGCTAGGCACATGTGCATGTGTCCCCAAAATCCCAAGGGAAGAATGGAGAAGGGGTATTGCAGCCTGGCCATCTTCCTTGGGAGGAAGGGGTGGTGATTTCTATTTATCTGTCTCTCTCTGTCTCTCTGGCAAGTGCCCTATAGCAAAAATCTCTCTGAAAAATAAATAAGTGCAATAAAATAAATACTAACATATTTTTTAAATCATTCATTTAAATTTTATTCATTGTTACTATTTTTTAGTTTTCTATAGGGCTTGTGCACTCACAAGAGAGGAACAGAATGAGTGAGAGAGAAAAATGAGAAAGGTCCAGGACTCAAACTGTGGTCAGGCACATGGACTCCAGTGCCTTAACCACCATGCCACCTGCTGGTCCCACTAACATAATTTCTAACAGGCTAACTATGGAAGATTTACTGCTTGGTGAAGCAAGCCAGACTATGAAAGAGAAACATTATATGTCTCCACTTAATATATGCTGTCTACACTCTATGGCAGAAACTGAAATACTAGGGTATATATACTCATGGAAAATGGTTATGGATGCTGGAGATGGTGTGGGAAGAGGGTGGGAGAGTGAGAGGAAGGGAATCAAGGAAAAAAAGAGAGGCAAAGCATTTATGGGTCACAGAAAGGGATGATTATCTTTTGACGATTATATGTATGGTATCTTCAACTGGACTGGTGTTAAGTATATCCATGTTGGGTAAATTCACTTTACAAATTGTAGTGGTGTATAGTGATTGAGTGTATAAAGTAAATTTTAAAAAATAATAAATGAATAAATAAATAATAAATAAATAAAAGCTGCATTCCCAGGATGACCCTAGCACAGAGGTCCTCCAGTTTTCCATCCCGTCAGCATCCTAAGCATGCATATAATTGGTAGTTTTTTTTTTTTATTTTCTAAGTTTTTCAAGTTTTCAGTTTTTAAATTTTTATACGTTCAATCACTGTGTATCCTTACAGCACACCAAATGAAGTTTCCCATCATGAATACACTGCATATTGGTCCAGACTTTTAAAGCAGCTGTGGCCTGACTCAAATTCTCATTGGCCATGTGGGATCTGGCTTTCTCTGTGCAGCACTTTAACACTGTACTATTAGGCTAGTCCTAGTTGTTGACTTTTTAATCTTTGCAGGTACTTGCTATCCATCTATGCACCCATTCAATTCTTGCCGAAACCTGATAGGTAGTAAGACATTCCCCAGTTTTTCAGAGGTATATTGAGGTGGAAGAGGTTAAGAGATCTTTTCATATTCACACAGGCAATAAGTGCTGGCCTGTGCGACTCAAGCCCTGGTCAGACTTTGGGGTAAGTAGCCACTCATTACTGGCCAATACGTTGCCCTTCAATGACCATCATTATGAAAATCCCAAAGAAGAGAGGGTGGACTGGGTGAGGGTCCCTCAGGTATT